TAGACACCCCCCCCCCCACCCAAACCCCTTTCCACGTCGAACAACTGTTCAATTCTCCTCAAGTTGTCGTTATATTTAAACTTCTTGGAAAATAGCATCAGTATTTTTTAGTGTTGAGGATAACAAATTATGTTGTTTAAAAAAGAAACATATCACCCTCCCAAAACAAAAACAACACTAACAAACAACACAACACAACACTACTATTTTAAATGATTTAAGAAATAATGTTTGTTTCCATCGCTCAATTTAGAGATGGTGCTGGTCGAACTGGAGTATTTATTGACCTACACAGTGTCTTAGAAGAAGCTGAGGCGACAGGAGGAGTGGATTTTTTTAAAACTTTGGTCACGTTAAGAATGGAGAGATTGTCTATGATTCGGACAGCGGTAAAAAAAAAAAAAGAAAAAAGCTGGTTGGTACAAGAGTATGAGACGAACAAAAGGATTCCATTGAGATTATTTTTTTTTTAAATTTAGGTTTCAATCCTTAAGGCAATTCCAGAAATTTCTGAAAATCTCAAATACGGGAATATTTTTATATTATGTACGCAAGGCGTAGTTGAAATGTACATATTAAGTTTATTGTTTATTTTAATATAAATTTTAACATATGTGCCTTTTCTTTTCTGTCTTCTAAAATGGAAAGGTTTTTCTTTTCTTTTTATCACGCACTGAATTAATCATTAAAGTAATTTTAACACCTGCAATATTTTTTCGGCTCCTTCAAAAAAAAACAACAAAACGAATCCTTCGTGTTATTTCCCCATAGGAGCAGTACTGGTTTTTACACAGAGCAGTCCAGCTTGGGGTAATCTGTATGGGGAAAACCCTCACGTCCACAAACATAATTCAAAGAATAAACAGTTTTCAGGATTTACAACTAAGAGAAGAATATAAGGTGAGAGATTGTTAAATATATGTGTTTTCATATAATTGCTATTTTAATTGCGCCGTGGAGCGAGGAGACAAACTGCCGATGCAGTTGTCATTAGAAGGATTACTGTGGTTTTATAAAGAAAAAAAAAGCACCTTGAAAATGAGTGTATAAATTCACAATAATCACATGCCAAGTAAAAGCAAAGGTTAAACGTTAAAAAAAAAAAACACAAAAAATGCTCTTTAAGAAAAGAATATTTCTTATAAAAATACTACATATTTTAAAAAAAAAAATGCATCTCCAAAATTCATAACTTTAACCAAAAAATTTAAGACAGAGGAGAAACTATAACTTTATTACTAAAAATGAATATTTATTATGTGCTTGTGTGCTTATAATAGTGCTATATAAATATATATCAACGACGGACGAACAGCAAGAAAAATATATAATTTTTTTTAAAAATAATACAAGTAATTCATTAGCAATTGCTAAAATTTGTGTAATAGTCTGGAAGTCTTCAAATCAACGCACATTTATGTTAGGCAGCAAAAGGTGTACGTTTCCTCCTGAATCCTAAGAGCAGGCTGAGCATTAAACATGCCCGTGTGAAATTTTTTTTACGCTGTACATTCGACATGATGACATGAACGTTATTTCATACTCCAGGCTGTTTGTTTGATGTCCGAGGAATTCAGAGTTAAAGGCGGTAAGGAATGCTTGATTTATTTGAACAATTCATCATACCCCAGCCTTCAAACCCCTAGTGCATGATTTCCTCATCAATACCAGTAACAGAAACATTGCAAATCACATCTACATGCATAGGAGCCAAAATGATCAATAACTTGATCGTGGGCCCTTAAGATATAGAAGAAGATACCCCGTTATTTAGCGTTACTTGAGGTTGGGAGGAAAAAATGATGGGTGTTTCGGGGAAGACCCGATGGGCACTGGATCTTAAGATATTGGATTAGAATAGCTGAGGTTTGAAAGAAAATGTAAACAGAAATGGAAATGGTTTCAACATTTTTTGTAGAACCTATTTCTCAAATGCAGTTGTAGACGAAATGGTACAACCTTTTTTTTAACGTTACAATTTTAACGTAGGGCTCATATCTCGGATATAAATATCGGTGAACTCTTCAGTGGGACACGTTTGATAAATGGAAATGATATAAATGGATTTTCTTGTTTTAATTTCAGTGCCAGGCAGTATTTCCTTTCTGGGTAATGAAATGTAATTACAATGCATGCAAAATATAAAATGAGTAAAACAATGTAGTGTTAAGCCTGAAAAAAGGAACGCAACAAAACAACGAAATTGTACTTTGTTTTACTCATTTTATATTGTGCTAACCTGATTGCCGTCTCTCCCCTTATTGTCCCTATGCATGAAAAGTTTGATTCAGGATAAATCAATCTATACAGAAACATTCGTGGTACAAACAGACATACAGACACATTTCACATTTATATGGCAGATACATATTCTCCCAGAAAGATACCCTTTTCAATGCAGAGCGTTTTTTTTTCACTGTAACACCTCGGTGTCACTAACTAATTTCAGTTTTTAAAAATTAATTATAAACCCATTGTGTGTGGCGTTCAAGGATGTTTGTTTGAATGAATGCAATCCATGCCCATAATTTGAGTTTTTAAGGGGGAATAAACCATGGACTGAATTGTTCCCAATGCAACAAATTGAACGTCTGAGACATTTCTATACTCACTACGTAGACGCATCCGTTCGGTGGTGTATTTTGGTGATCGGGGCTGAATTGCGATTTTTCCCTTCTCCACAAAAAATAACTTAACCCATAAACGTAATTTACAAACCTAACCCGTGAATGTAATCCTAACCATAACCCTTACTTTCTAGGTTCCTTAAAAATTAAAATTTAAAAAAAGAAAAAAAAAGCTGTTGTTACTATTTTTCTTGATCATTTTTTTCTTTCTTTCATTTTGTCCCAACAGCTGTCAGGCCAAGATCAAGTCTTAATAATGATATCGTAGTAGTTACCATAAAGGTTTGAGTTTTTTGTTTTTTCTTTGCTGTTTTTGTTTTTTTCGGAAATAGCTATTAAGAAATGCAAATAACAATCCATAATATAGAAAAAGTAAATTGTCCTATACTTAGAAGCAGCTTTAACGATAGGGATACAATTTTTCTTGAAAACAGACCGCAGGTAACACAGCATGCGTGGTTATGTATAATGTGCCGATGTGAAACGTTGTTACAAATAGGGTAACACGAAATAGAAAAAATGCATGCATCTCTGTTTGGTGATTTAAAAAAAGATGATAAGACGTTCGACAACAAAAATGGCCCATTGATGTTAGTTTTATTATCTTTAACAGGACTTTAAAATTGAAAACAAAAGAATACTCGCGTCACTTCCCACGCGAGACCAGGGCTTCGCCTTCTGGGCGATGGTTTACCAGTATAATGTTTCAGGAATAGTTTGTCTTGATGCCAGTCTTGAGGGACATGAGGTAAACTATTTACGTTTTAATTAAGTACTTTGTTTACAAAATTTATCATGTAGCGCATTTTGTAAAGCTTTAAAATCCATTGAAACATTGTCTATGTTTTTAAGCCATAGTCAATTTTTAAAAAAAAATAATAATAAAGTCTAAATTAAATGGCTGGTATTTTTCTCTCTTGCTTTTAAATCATTGGGTTTATAGAGAGATTTTGATCATGTTTCCTCATCAAAGCTGAAACACGCGAGTAATAATCATGTTTCAAATATCAATTATGAAGGTGGTATTCCACTATCTTCCAACCAGTGATACAGAGCCATTAATTTGTGGACCGTATCGCATACTATCAACTGTAATCAATCGAAATGAAATTTGGGAAGAACGAAAATTAACAGCTCACCTAGAAAGCGTGAGTGTTACCCACTGTCTTCTTTTGTGAGGAATTAATATCCTATTTTAATTTATGGCTCGTTGAAACAGTGCACAACAAGGGACGATACCATAGAGAAATTCAATAACAAAAATACGACACCCAAAACAGCTGCCGATTACAATTACTAAGATTTAATTGAGTATTAATTCAATTACAAAGAAAAATAAATCTAATTACAAATCATCAACTTACAGAGTATGGGGAAATCTTGTACCGGTACACAAGTAGTACAATGTGCAAATGAATAATGATGAATGATGAATGCGAAATAAACACATATGAGATCACAAAGAATAATACAATTTTCTCTTAAAGTTAAAATATATCTATCTGAATCCCCCTCTCTCAATCTCCGAATCCCTTTTTTATACTAATGCGTCGGTAGAACGGACACTTCTAGAAATGTCTTCAACATTGTTTATCTTTCTAGTCAATTATCGAAGTTTCTCCAAAATTCTTTTTAGAATATATTAGTCAGTGGCGTAGCGAAGGTTGGTGTCACCCGGTGCGGTAAACTCATGGTGTCACCCCCCCCCCCCCCATCTTTCTATGATCGATTTTTTTCTTGTTAAAATAAGTCCACAGTATAGCATCAACCTTGAACTTTTAAAGCACGCATTTGGATTGGTTACATTTGTGAGAAATATATGTGTGATCGGTTATTCTTTTATGAATCTCGGTTTTTGCGAGCAATGTGTGCCCTGCAAATATTGCAATTTTTAAATCGGGTGTCACCCCTAAAATGGTGTCACCCGGTGCGGTCCGCAACCCCCGCACCTGCCTCACTACGCCACTGATATTAGTTATTTTTTAATTGGTGGCGGCGTAAACACGCTAGGATGAAAGGAACAGGCCATGCCCACTAAGAACGCGGTGTCTGCTATATTGGCAGCACATGAGAAACGTGACGTAACATGACCTACGTATCAGTAAGGATAACAGTGTCTTTTTTTTTTAATCAATAATAAAGCATGTTGGACCGCTATAGTATAAAGGATAAATTGAGTTAGAACACTTTTTAAAAAAAGGATAGTTTTTCTATTTTTAATTTGTAAATTAATAAGACAATGTGGGATATACAGGTGACTGTTTTTTGTAAATCTCATTATTAATGAAATCAGCCCATTGTTAACAATTGTTTCACTCTTTCTTTCAGAATTCTCAACATTCAATTATCAATCTGAAAGCAAATTTCAAAATTCTTGATCCCGTGCAATGCTTGGCATTCATTCAGAAAGCCAGATCAATCAACGTGTCCCCTAATGAAACTATTGTGTATACTTGCAGGTCAGCGTGTTTCCATGTTATATTATTTAAATGAGCAAATACATTCCTATCATGGTTGTTTCTATCCAATATTCAATAAAAAATAATTCTTTGGGTATATGTTTTTCTCTCCAAAATTCAGAAACGGTGCAGTGAAGAGCGGACTGGCTTTTGTGTTGTCTGTTTTGCTGGACAAATTAGACGTCGGTGGTTCGATCACGGTTCCTCTCGTGGTTGGCGCCGTCAAGGCCATGAAGCCAGAGGCTATTCCAACACTGGTCAGTTTGAAAAATTAAAATAAATAACGCTACTAATAGGGTTGAATTGGATAAAGCTACTCTAAGGTAAAACGAAAGCTACTCTAATACAAACAAAACTCCTGTAAGACAACAAAAGCTACTCAAAGACAATCAAACTACTCTAAGGCAGTAAAAACTACTCTAAGACAAATAAAGCTAAGCTAAGACAACCACTGTAATATGAACACGATGCAAAAGCTTTTAAGTAAATAGTTTACCAAATCGCTGTCTCACATTATTTTAAGAAAAATTTAATAATCACTTTCGAGTGGCTTATCACTCCGCAAACGCTTTAGTATATATATATAAGAATGAGCTAGAGTCACATAACGTTACAAGGGAGATACTATTTAACTACGTTCGGATTCCTAAAAACAATCATAGTTATTTTCTATTATGTTACGAAAATCGAATAAATTTAAATGCGCAAAAAAATATTTAAAACCCACACTTTTGTTTTAGTAAAAGTTCAAATATTATTATTATAAATTACAAATGCATTTAATGCTTCAACTAAGGAACTATTTTAAGCGTTTAATATGTGTTTAAAAGTAATGAATTTTTTTTTTTTAAATTTAAACAATCATGATCAAAGAGTTACACCTAAATCACATTTATCGGAAAAATCCAAACATCAGTCGGTTTTAGTGCGTCTTTCAGTGCGTTGTTAATATTGCGAAATAAAATGTTAAATTAATTTGTTCTAAATAATCACGCAAATGGCGTCATAGCGCGATTAGCTTATTTCTCCAAAACTTTTAGGTTTCTTTAAATTAAATAACCGTGAGTGACAAAACTGATACTGTGTTTTCCCTTCTTAAAATTAAAATTAATAAATACAATTGATTGCTCTTTAAATAGTTAATAAGAAACACACAAATTTCTGCTGTGTATATTAACAATAAAAAGTTCTGCCTTTTTTTATTCCAAAAATATACATTTATTAACATTATGACGTAATAAAAACTAACCTTTAAATATAATGGGAGTCGCTTAGTCAATTATTTTGTCACGTGATATGAGTAAAAACGAGTAAGATTTCCGGTATACTGTATACAACACACTAGTGCTTGACAACAGTAGCCCGATACACACTACAACTACACTACATTTCGTCCAATGAAAATTAACAATAAAATAAACAAAGGGGAATGACTCCTGCATCAATATTGAATAAAAACGCAAATGACGTCATGAGCACGCACGGAGCTCAACAACATCCTGCCGATAATAGTATTGATAGTTCCCATCGAATATCGCTCACAAATTTTTCTTGAAATAACTTTCTTCCTTTAATTATAACTGACGTATATTTATTGTCACATTTATGTATTTCATTTAAAAAACGCTTGCATTCCATAATATTACGAAAGGTAAAATTTTTAATTAACATAACATTGGGGAAGCACTGATGAAGTATCTTTTGTTGTGTGTTGCAGCCTAGTGATGACTTACTCATATCACGTGACCAAACAAGGAAGTGACTAAGCGACTCCCATTATGATAAGAAAATGCGGTTTACGTCAAACAGTGCAGTGCAACTCCATAGCCAAATAGCATTGACTAATCAACTTATAACTAAAACAAAAAAGAACGAACCATATGAAGTGCACATTATTTTAGTTTGGGTATGGAAGGGACTACATTAACTACAAAATTTTGTCCCTGGCGTACAGCTGCATAGATGGCTCAGCAACTGAATATATCAAGGAATTTATTTATAAACATTTACTTCTGAAGAAGCTGCGGTTTTCAACACAGTACTTACTGAGTGTTCCTAGAGTGGATGAACACAGAAAAAAGTCTTATGGAGTGCGCTCTTTTGAAGCGATAGCGCAAAAATTATGTATCAGTTTGCCTCAATCTTTGAAGGGAATTGTAAACGATAAAAAATCAATAAAAAAAACAATTTCAAACTTTTTTGTTTCAATAGATTTCGGAGAACCAGAGCGCAGTGAGCATGCCAAAGTGTCATGGATACCAGCGCGATATAAATATCAAATTATCAAATCAAATCAAACAATCCGGTAGAAGATTTTCCTAAATTTATTTAAATCTGGGTGTGGGGAGGGGTTGGTTACTTTGCTCCAGGCAGCACACGATACGTCTCAAAATAAAGGAATGAATTCGATAAATAATTAAACTTTTTGGGAACATACATTTCAGAGGTAGGAAATAGGACGTGTACATTTTCACGTGGGTGACAATATATTTAAATCCTATGGTATTACATTTGGGGAAAAAAAGATGTTACACTCTCTTTTCACAAATATAGGTATGTTCATTTTGCTCAAAGCAGAACAAGATACGTCTCAAAATAAAGGAATGGTTTGATAAATAATTAATTTTCTTGGGTAAATACATGTCGGAGGTAGGAAATAAGATGTGCACATGTTTTCGTGGATGACAATAGTTAACTCTTATGGTATTACATTTGTGAAAAAGAGATGTTACATTCTCTTTTCACAAATATGGGTATGTTCATTTTGCTCAAGGCAGCAATAAATACGTCTCAAAATAAAGGAATGATTTTGAAAAATAATTAATTTTCTTGGGTAAATACATGTCAGAGGTGGGAAATACGATGTATACATTTTTAAGTGGATGGCAATAGTTAACTATTATGGTATTAAATATGTGAAAAGAGAGATGTTACTCTCTCTGTTTACAAATATACTTATGTTTACCAATTAAGAAGATCAACGGTGTTAACAAATCTTGGGTACATTTATATACGCTTAACCATTAATATAAAAACCCAATCATTTTACACACTTGAAAAATTAATTTTAAAAATTAAAGATGGATTAATATTTACTTTCAAAAACTTTAAATACATTTTTGTTTTTACTTCGCAAAGAAGTAAAGAGATTTGTATTTTATGAGATTAAACATTTAAATTAAAAAAAACAAGACTCAAATCTGTTATAGACGTGAAAAAAGGTTGCGCGATTCTTCTTTAGATAAAATAATTCTTTGTTTTACGATTTTCTGATAATATATAATTGTTTTAAAAAGGCAAAAAAATGGGTTTAAATTTTTTTCTGAAGATATCAATACATACCCAATTCCTATAACATAAAATATTTGTATATCATACATAGACTTTTTGGTGTAAATTTAAGGCAAGTTTTTTAAACAATTTTTAGAGAAAAAAAATGTAGTTCAAGGACACGAAAAGGGGTAAATCTAAAATATTTCTCTAACGTAGTAATTGTCCCTCAATTAACTTCTTTAGTGACAAAAGTGATATAATTATTGATAATTTAGACTGTGTAATTTAAGGTCATGTTTAGAGGGGGAAAAAAGTAGTTTAGTTGCATGAAAAGGAGTACGGTAGGCCTATAATATATAACAGTAAATTTCTTCTCAAAACGTAATGATGTTAGAAACGTAAATATCATTACATTTTTAAAGTAATGAATTGTGATGAGTTTTGGCAATAGCAGTTAGAAATTATCGCATAAGATCTACCATAATTATCCCGATAACATCGGGTCATTTATTCTAGTTTTTATGAGTTACCCTTCACGTGTGTTGTTGACGCATTTGACACACACCTAAATTGACCAACTTCCTGTAAAACATCCTTTGATTTGTATTTGCTTGTTCATATGTATATTATTATTTATTTATATTGGCGGTGAACATAAGTGCCCAAGCTGAATCAAATAGTTGCAAGCTATTTATGTTGGTAGTGAAATCTTAAATACATTTTTGTTGTTGTTGCTTTCCTTCCGAATCAACGCGTATCCAAAAATTGATCGTCGGAAATGTGATCGAACGGAAATTTGGTCGAATCTTCTTTTTTTTTTCCAGTTCGCACGTTAAAATGTGCGTCAAATTTCACCTTTCAACGCATTATTTTGTTTTACAACAACAGTACAGAGCGCTCAAAAAGAAATTTAACGAACATTTTTAAGTGTGAACTGAAAAAAAAGGTTCCACAAAAATTGCCGTAGGATCAAATTTCCGTCGATCAATTTTTTCGTCGACGAAATTTCTTTCAAACAAATTTGTAAGGAATCAGCAGCGTCGTCGTTTGAGGAGAATTGTCAGTTATACATACATATATATATATATATATATATATATATATATATATATATATATAATTATATATATATGGCATCCTTCGATCTTCGTGAGTCGATGGAGTAGCTATAAAAATGTATAAACATATTTCTTTCAAACAAATTTGTAAGGAATCAGCAGCGTGGTCGTTTGAGGAGAATTGTGAGTTATATATATATATATATATATATATATATATATATATATATATATATATATAATTATATATATATGGCATCCTTCGATCTTCGTGAGTCGATGGAGTAGCTATAAAAATGTATAAACAGAACACATCTCATCTATTCCTCGTAATTAAAAATAAGTTTTTATTAGAAAATATTGGTGGGATTTTTTTTAGTTTCCGTATGGCGTGAGTTGATAGACATTTAAATGTTTAAATTTTTTTTTCAAATCCATTGGGCTTACTCTTTTTGTTTTTGTTTTTTTTTTCAATTGTATCCACAGGAGCAGTACATTCTCCTTTATCATGTGTTGAAAGCGTCACTGCCAATATCTTAAATACGACCGCGAATGACGACTGACTAGTGAATTCTCATACAATACAAGTCGTTTGAAACAGAAACTCTAGATGTTCAATAGTTGCATATGTTGGATGAATACTGCCGTTTCGCCGTAGGTTCAATGTTTAATTTTGCTGACACACGCGGACTGCACACGATCGAAGAAATTATTATTTTTTTTAAAAAAAGATTACCTCCAAACACGTTGGGCTGTCGAAAGGAAAGGTGTCCATACTATTTCAAATGTCTTCTTCATAGAAAAAGTATGCCATCCTTTATTGTTGTTGTCTGTTGTTATTGTTTTAAAGTAAAACTTGTTTATTTTAAATAAAAAAATTATAACCGTAACCAACACAAAGACGACTATATTAAGCCCAAAGATTTAAATGTGTCGAAGTATAG